AATATGACCGTTTGTAGTTGAGAGTTTGCATACTCTAGCGTTTACGTCCTAACTCTGCCACCTACTATTTTTGGGGTACTGCAAAAGTTGCTGTATTTTCTCTGCCTCCATTTACTTATATCTGAAGTGGAAGTGACAGCAGTCCCTACATCATAAAGCTAATGTATGCATTGAATGAGACAGTTATGAAAGGTTCTTTACACCATGCCTGGTACAAAGTGGCCCAAAAATCAGCCATTATTAATGATATCAACAAAAATCCATTTCTAGTATTTTTGCTCTGATGCCAACTTTCCCAGCTCTCATTTCTTGATTCTCTTGAATGGAGTCCAATTCACACTGATGGAAAACTCTGGTGTTTCAATAACTAAATCACATAAGACTTTACCCCCAACGCTTTGTTCCCAGCATTTCTCTCTCTCATTCCACATATACACATAGTTCTAGGCTAGAGAACACAGAATCTGTAGCCAGATTCCAATATATGTGCAAACAAAATGCTCAATTTTAATGAGCACAGTGCTTCCTTCTGCATTTTTACAGAGATCTATCAGCAATACACATCCTTGATACACAGACCTATCCACATGTTTATACATTATATAATTCACCTCTGCTAAAATAGCCTGAAGAACTCACAAATGCAGAAATAGCACATAACTGTCATGCAGAAGCATACAAACAAAGAACAAAGGCCATCCTCCTCAGTCACCCCAAATGTGAGCAGACATGCTCTCCATGTACGCTATCTCTGTAACCCCCACCTAGCGTGTTGCTCATCTTTGCTCCTTAGTAATTCATTGATGGATTTTCTTACTTTTCATTTATTTCTAAGCTCTGATCATTCATTACAATTCTACTGGGAAATTCATGCTGGATGGCTTTCAGCTTCCTGCTAGCCAGAACAATCAGATTTAAGGGAACATTTGTGCCAGGCTCCGTGTCAGCCAATATTCTTTCTATCTAGGTAATCAGCAGATACGGCACTGCCGTTCTGATCACATCAATTTCAATTCAAGTTGCTGTGAACTGTCAGGCTAATAAAACAAAGACTCCTGTCTCCCAGCCCCAGGATGCAGAGCACCTTTACATAATACAGTCACACCACGGCTCAAAATGATGATAATAAGAGCCAGCAGTTTCTCTACAGATAGTGAACTGCAGGAGAGGCATGAAGGGTAAACACAGGATTAACAAAGCAATGTATGGCATGTCCAGAGGTCGCCCTGTTTCCTCTTTTCATTCCATACCTGTTACAGTTGTCTGAATTCAGAAAAAGTCATGAAAATAGTTGCAAATAACAAGACACTGCAAAGTCATTCCTGTCTAAATATGTCATTTTTTTTCCCATCATCAAGGGACCAATTAAAATGGTTTCTATTCCTGGCAGAAAACAAAATTTATCCAGAGAATCAATTCTATGTTGACTCAAGAAGAGGGAAGAGGATAATCAGGAAGGGGAAAATGGAACCCGATAATCAGAATACGTTTTTGGGAGACCAAGGATAGAACGAGGCTCAGGGAAGAAAACTGGGTGATTAAGCTGGGGCAGTTGCTTTGACATCTTGCGAGTGGATACCCTGAGCAAGAATCCTTCCATTTAGGCTGGTCACAGTGGCTCATGCTTGTGATCCCAGCACTTTGGAGGGTCAAGGCAGGCGGATTATGAGGTCAGAAGATCGAGACAATTCTGGAAAACATGGTGAAATCCTGTCTCTTTTTCTTTTTATTTATTTATTTATTTTGAGACAGAGTCTTACTCTGTCACCAGGCTGGAGTGCAGTGGTGCGATCTCAGCTCACTGCAACCTCCACCTCCCAGGTTCAAGCAATTCTCCCGCCTCAGCCTCCCAAGTAGCGCCACCAAGCCCAGCTGATTTTTGTATTTTCAGTAGAGATGGGGTTTCACCATGTTGGCCAGAATGGTCTCAATCTCCTGACCTCGTGATCCGCCTGCCTTGGCCTCCGAAAGCGCTGGGATTACAGGCGTGAGCCACCGCGCCCGGCCGAAACCCTGTCTCTACTAAAAATACAAAACAAATTAGCTGGGTGTGGTGGCACACGTCTGTAGTCCCAGCTACTTGGGAGGCTGAGGCAGGAGAATCGCATGAATCCAGGAAGCAGAGGGTGCAGTGAATGGAAAGCATGCCACTGCACTCCAGCCTGGCAACAGAGCAAGACTCCATCTCAAAAAAAAAAAAAAAAAAAGAAAGAAAAAAAGAATACTTCCACTGTAAGTGCTGAATCAAGGCAAGAAAATACCTGGCATTTCAACAAAACACACTTCAAGTTAAAATGTTTATAATCTATTTACAAATGAAAAAAGAGATGCGGTAATTTATACTTGTTTATAAGACGACAACTACTTGGCGTAAAGAATGTCATATGGCTGCACTAATTGCAATATGGCAAGATGTAGAAATCCAAAATAATATAAATGTTTTGGGCATTTAAACAATGTGGGGTACTTTTAAGGCTATGATACGTAGAACACTGCAGTGGTGCTTGAAGATAATGGAACATAATATTAATGATGCTATCTGTAATTTATTGAGCATGATTGTATTTTAGGTGCTGTGCTCAGTGTTTTAAAAGGATTAACTCATTTAATCCTCAGAAAAATCATATCTAGTAGGTATCATGTTTATCTCCATATTTTAAAAAAGGAAAGTGTGGCTCAGAAATTACTAGATTTAAAAATTAGCCAGACGTGGTGGTGCATGCCTGTAGTCCCAGTTACCTGGGAGGCTGAGGCAGGAGAATGGCTTGAACCCAGAAGGCAGAGGTTGTAGTGAGCACAGATTGTGCCATTGCACTCCAGCCTGGGTGACAGAGCAAGACTCCATCTCAAAAAAAAAAAAAGTCAAAGTTATTAGATTTGTCTCAAAAATGCATACAAGTGGCGTTGCTAGGAATTAAGGCAACCTAAATCCAAAGTCAGTACTCTAAATTAAATTTTATTCAACATGAAGTTGAAACTAAACTATCACAATATGTAAATTTATTCTAGAATACAATTTGAGGCTGTAATATACGATATTGTATTGATCTGAAACATGGGCAGGAGAAGAAGTGGAAAATCTTATGAAAGTATACAATCTCACACCAGTTAGAATGGTGATCATTAAAAAATCTGGAGACAACAGATGCTGGAGAGGATGTGAAGAAATAGGAACGCTTTTACAATGTTGGTGGGAATGTAAATTAGTTTGACCATTGTGGAAGACAGTGTGGTGATTCCTCAAGGATCTAGAAACAGAAATACCATTTGACCCAGCAATCCCATTACTAGGTATATAAACAAAGGATTATAAATCATTCTGCTATAAAGACACATGCATATGTATGTTCATTGTGGCACTGTTTACAATAGAAAAGACTTGGAACCAACCCAAATGCCCATCAATAATAGACTGGATAAAGAAAATGTGGCACATATACACCACGGAATACTATGCAGCCACAAAAAAGGATGAGTTCATATCCTTTGCAGGGACATGAATGAGGCTGGAAACCATCATTCTCAGCAAACTGACACAAGAACAGAACCAAACATAGCATGTTGTCACTCATAGGTGGGTGTTGAACAATGAGAACACATGGACACAGGGAGGGGAACATCACATACCTGGGCCTGTTGTGGGGTGGGGGAGATAGGGGCAGGATGGCAGAGGGTGGGGGGATTGGGGAGGGATGACATTAGAAGAAATATCTAATGTAGATGATGTGGGGATGGATGCAGCAAACCACCGTGGCATGTGTATACCTATGTAACAATCCTGCATGATCTGCACATGTACCCAAGAACTTAAAATATAAATAAATAAAAAGTATGAAAAAGCTTGCAGTGCCCTTTTCTAAATACAAACACATAAACCATACCCTATCCTAGTCTGCCATAATTTCTATTACAAATACTTCGGCTCTAAATGTGGCATACAGTTTATTAATACGCCTTTATACATACAGAGAAGTTTAGATACTAGAAGAAAATCACTAAGAACCTCTGAAGGAGAAAGAAGGCAGAACACATTAAAAAGAATTACAATGATAGGTTAAAAATTCTTAAGTGAAATTAGTTTCTTTCCTGTGGGATATACCCTTACTTCTTATACAAACAACCTCTTGACTTACTGCACTTATTCTCAACTAAATGATAGAGTCCTTATGGCTGCACATATTCAAATCCACTTTAGATTTTTTCAGATAGAATATAGGTATACAGTTGCACTTCCCAAATTCTGAATGTTTTCAAATGGCTTATTATAACCTATTATAAATCCTTCATAGCGCATAAGACTGACGAATGGCTAAAATCCATCCCAAAGCAGCAGTTTTCTTTCCAGTTAACTGTGCCTTCAATGGCAACTAAAGCATTGGTTTTTATCATGAAAGCTAACCAATCCAACATATATGATTTTCTTTTGAATCTTGGCCATTCTGAGAAACAAAAAGTCTGCTAAGCTCTGTTCTTGTTGTTGTAGTTGTTTTATTTTCCTAGGTTAAGGAGAAAATGCCTGTTAATCTGATCTCACTCTCTGACCCTGTGAGATAAAGGCCATTACCCAAGGGAGCTTATTTAACCAGAAAGGTCTTCAAGTCCAAAAGGAGTGTCTTCTGACTGGATACAGGAGACCCTATCACCTTCATTCTTTTTTCTGAGAGACAAGGGAGTGCCATCCACCATCCCTTTACTCACTGCCCTGTCTGCCCTTCAGAACTATGTCCAAACCTCACATGCAGACCATTCTCATCAAACCCTGCAATTGACTGCCTCCCGAGACATTCTGCAAGTCCACTGGGCCTTCATGTCCTCCCAGAGATGCTCTGTGGATTGCAAAATAACTAATAAAAATGTTCTGCAAATCTCCCCATACCCCAAGGGAAATGTGGCCACATAAGAAACAGTATGAAAATGAGCAGAAAAACAGTCCATGCCAGGCTTCCACCAGCCAGCTGGGCACTGCTGTGGCTTAGGACCACATATGCCTCGTGACATACCTCATAGAGGTCGATCATGACATTGCCCTCAGGGCCTCTGCTGCTCTGGACATTCTCCAAGGCCAGGGTGAAGTAGACACCACGTGTGTCTGAAATGTAGAGGTTGTACGTGTCATTCTGGTTCCATTCTTGGACCGCTGCAAACACTTGATTCTCATCGGTGCTGATAACATGCATGTCCTGCGAAAAGACACAGGGTCATGAAGAGGGAGGAAGAGTTTTATACGTTAACCTGGCAAGCATCCAAAGAGCGTGGAATCAAATGAGGAATACCAGAATAAGCACGTTAATGGAAGATAGCTTCCTTTTGCATATGTGATAAATAATAATTAGTGAAGTGTTAATCATGTATTTCCTTTGTCACTTGTGGGGTTAGGCAATACGGTCATGAGAACAGAGGATGGAGGGATGTTTGGGAGCTGTTTTAATTGCCTCATTACATAGTTTGAAAAATTCTTTAATATGTATAATTTGGAGAATCAATTGTCCTGATATTTTTGCCAAGCATAAATATGATACTTGCCAAGAAGGCATATATGGGGCAGATGGGAGGAAAAGCTGGGGGGACAGAGAGAAAATACACAAACCCTGCATCTCTCAGCATGGCCCATGACCAGCAGCAAGGACATTACCTGTAAGCTTGTTAAACATGTAGAACCTTGGGCCTCACCTGGTGAATGGAAATTTGCATTTTAATAAGATTGCTAAGTAATTATCATGTATATTAAAGCTTGAAAAGCACTGCCCTAAGGTTCAGCAACTCCCAGCCAGTCTCCTCTGCCCTCAGTCCTAAGAAAACATTCACCAAAGAAACCCAAAGTACTAATCTTCACATTGTGTGTTCAAAGACTTAGCTGCTCATCAAAACCTAAACTGAGAGGTTCTGCAGGAATCCTCCTGTGAAAAAGGGTAAGACAGTCTGCATAAGTGACAATGTTTTCAGGCCCTGGGAGATAGAATTAAAGCAAAAGTAGCAAAGAGGCAGTGAGCACATGCTCCTGGGGTGGGAATTTCAAATTCTTTCCCACTCCATCCATAGCTCTAGAGAAGTACATTGGAAGCTACCACAGACCAAAGCTTGCTGACTCAGACCAAGGCCTGCTGTCCTCTTTAGGAGATGTCTGTTCATATATTCTTGGCTGCATTTTACCCTCTGCTGAAGAAATTGATCTAAAACAACTTCTAAAAACCAAAAATTAAAACTAGGTAACCAAAACAAACAAAAACAAAGCTTGCACATAACCACAAAGGCAGAAGAGCAACGTAGAATGATTCTTGCTTTTGGCACAGCTTAGTACTCGAACCTTCCCACACGCACCATATTCTATTTTTGAAAAGCTTCAGGAAATCTGACAATCCTCCTAACAATTTCAGTGAGGGGAAATTCTACCTAACTGCTAACCTAAATTTCTCATGGTCACATATGCCCACGCTCTCAATCAAGCGGCATTTCAGCTCGGACCCTGCTCTAGATGTGTAGGAACAAGACTCCCTCTCCTCTTTACCCTTTATCACAGTAAACTCAAGACCCCAGAGGGAGATGTCCATATCCAAAGGGCTTCACATTTCTCACCTCTACTCAGGTTCCATATGACATATTCGAGTTACGTAACAATTTTTGTAGAAAGAACCACAAGTAGAGAGGCCAAAAAATGAATCCTGCCCATTAATTTAATGTGTGCTTCTATCCATTGAATGTCTGTTTACATTTCTTCTGATAATTACAGCTCTCTCTAGGTGTCTGCAGGGGGACTGTTTCCACGGTTGCCCTCAGATACCAAAATCCAGAGGGGCTCAAGTTCCTTATATCAAGTGGTGTGATATCTGCATGTAACCTACACACATCCTCCTGTACACATTAAATCATCTCTGGTTTACTTGTAATATCTAATACAATATAAACGCTATGTAAATAGTTGTATCAATTGTTTAATTTGTATTACTTTTTATTATATTAATTTTTTGAATATTTTCCATATAATACAGAATCTGAGAGACACAGGTCCAACTGCACAGATGTATGTTTTTTTGAAAAACGGCCTCATCCTTCTCAGATATATTTCTGTATTAAATCTAAACATTTTTCTGCTTTATTCTACCAGCAGCACTAGAAATGAGCTTTTAGAACTGGCATTCAGAATATTCCATTTCTCTGGCAACAGCAACTGAATAGGTAATGGGCATGTGACCCATATAAAGTCAATATGACATGTTTCTAGAATGACTGTGGAGTTATTAAGGAGAGACAAAATTAGTATCTCACTATTGGTTTATAAGCAGTAAGAATAAAAAGGAAAACTCCAGATCTGCTGAAGACATATCTTGGAAGTAAAGGATGATGCCAACCCTGATGAAAATAGGGTCAGAGGCTCATGCCTGTAATCCTAGCACTTTGAGAGGCCAAGCCAGGTGGATCACCTGAGGTCAGGAGTTCAAGACCAGCCTGGCTAACGTGGTGAAACTCTGCCTCTACTAAAAATACAAAAATTAGCCAGGTGCGGTGGCAGGCACCTGTAATCCTGGCTACTTGGGAGGCTGAGACAGGAGAATTGCTTGAACCCGGGAGGCGGAGATTGTGGTGAGCTGAGATCACGTCATTGCACTCCAGCCTGGGTGACAAGAGCAAAAGTCCATCTCAAAAAAAAGAAAAAAAAAAGTAGATGGAGAGAGATGGCCCAATCCTGCAACATCTTTTGATCTCTAAATTTAGACATTTCGGAAGCTGATCCCACCTCCAGACTTTTCAGTTAAAGAAGACAGTCTAGCCAAGTGGCTGAAGAATGGACTGGAGTAAAACTACTTTAGTTCAAATCTTGGCTCTGTAACTTAGCTGTGTTAATGAAACTCTGTGTCTCATAATTTCAACCTGCAAAACAGATAGTAGAGTCCCCCATGGAGTGCTGAGGATGGAATCACTTAATAAGCGTTAAGCTCTTCTATTAGTGCCCGGTACTTAGCATATGCTCTAGATATGTTAGCTATCCTCAGTTAAGTGAGTCCCTACATCCCCTTTGGTGATTAAACCAGGCTGATTTGGCATTTCTGTTTACTGCAAATATTTAAGTCCTAACTATATACATAACAAGAAGTGGTTCACCCAAGTGTTTTTGTTGTTGTTGTTTAAAATAAAATTTAAAATTCTTTGAACTGGGAGAAGCTATACCCAAGGGTTTGGTTTCTTTCCAATGGAGAGACTTGTCCGTGGAAATTGGCCCCAGAGCTGTTCCTGCATTGAAGACCAATCCTCCCATGACTCCGCATCCTACAGGGAAAAGACCTAACTCTTTACCTTGGCATTGAGAAGCATCATACAACTATTCCCAATTCATCCTCCCTTCCTTGTTAGTAAGATGTATCATAATCCCTGAAGCCAAGTTAGAATACTTCAATAATAACCTGACCCCTGCATAGCTAATTCCTGCTTCTGTGATTTACAGTGAATTTCTGCATTGGTGAACCTCTGAGTTTCTCACAATAAACATTTGGTTAAATAATCCTAGGCTGGAAGAGTAAAGTGTTTCACCTATACAAGCCACTTCTCCCAAGCTTTTATTTTGTAGACTTGGAAAGGAAAACACAGATGCATCAAATATTGTGTTCTCAGTCACTTAGAGAACTAGTCACACAATAATAACAGATTAAAATGTCCATCTCTAGATATGGCTGAGTTCCAATCCTTCCTTTGCTACATATAATTATGTCGAACAGTCATTTTCAGATGATATTGGTCTTAAATAATTTATTATTTTTTCTTTTCTCCATGTCACAAACTTTTGTTCCAAGAACTAGGTCTTAAATATTTTAATTGAACAGTTTGAAATATTTATATATCTTTCTGTTTTCTCCTTCCCTAAATCCTGTTTCTATGGGTAAAAATGTGCTTTCTCCCCCAATGTGGCACTTTAGGTTCAATGGTTTAACCGAATCACAGGATTTGAGAGCAGGATGCGTTCTTACAGATTTTGTATTGAAGCATTTTCTAAAGTCCGCTCTGCAGGACAACAATGTTGTTAGGATTTTAATAGATTTGAAAAGGAAGAAGGAATCCTTTGGTAAAACATTTTAATGAATGGTGAATTAAAAGAGTTTTCTTGCTTACTGGACAGTCTAAACCTTCAACATACCAGCAAGCTACTGCTACTCTCTAGGCAAGAAACACGATGCAGTTTCTTTCTTTTTTTCAGATATATTTGACCACAGAACCAAATTATCAGAAAGGAATACTAAGAACATTTTATTCTAAGTAACACATATGAGAAAATATTGTTGTGAATCTAAGCTCCTTATTAAAAAAAAAAAAAAAGAGGAAAAGAGAAACTGACAAACTAGCCCAAGGTTTCAAAGCAAGTTAGTGACAGACCTGGGTCCCTAACCCGAGTTTCCTGCTGCAAATCAACCAGCCTTCACATCACCTGCATCCTGGTCCACATCCATCTTCCACCATGGAGACAACTAGATCCATACTAATAATAATATTACCTTGCCTTTATAGAGTATCTGTCCTCCAAAATGCTCAAAGCACTTTCATATGTATTCCCTCATTTATCTCACTTGAGTAGCTCGGAATGGGCTCCAAGCAAGTTAAAGGAAGGAAGACTGTCACTAAGTTTCCCCATCTGGAGGGCCACATGCTCTTAATGGCAACGGCAATATTAAAATCTCCCCACCCGCTGTCATTCTTTACTACTACTATCTTATAAAATATTTTTTAGCACAGCTCAGGGTGACTACGGTGTTTCAAGAACTGATACAATAGTAGTGGGTGATTAAAGAAAACTGAGCATAAAAGTGCCAGTTTGTCTTGATTCCTTTGGTCGGCTTGAAGCTTTGTTCATTTCCAGTTGCACCAGCCCTGACTCTGACAGAAGGCCTTGAAATAGATGCAACTTTGTCACAGATCACTCCACCCCAAGCTGGGCCTTCTTTTGAAGGTATAACAGGACTATAATAAAGAATGTCATTGCCTTAAATAATAAACACCCATCTGGACCAAATAATACATTCATTTGCCGTACTAGCCCTCATTTTTTCTGGGAACAAGCTAAATTAATCACTGCATTCTATCTTCAGACCCAGATGAGACAGAGTAATGGACCATGGTCTTCTGGGAGAACAGGAGGAAGAGCACAGATGCAAATTCAGGATCAAAGTAAGACGTTTTCTTTCCATACTGGCTAGATGCCACTGGGGGCAACCGTCAGCAGTGATTTGTGTGATGGCTAAGAACAAGCAATGCAAAGTTTTTGTTTCCCAAACCTCCAGCAATGAGTCTACAAACGTTTCTGTGATTTTAAACTGTGGTTTCTAGGGTACCTTAAGTCTATGGAATTTTCTTCTTCTTTTTTAAAAGAGCAGGTGATGATGCTCTTTTAATAACAAATACTATTAATTTACCTTCAAGGTAAGAAAATATAATATAAAAGTACTACCTTGAGAGGAGACTTGAGTTCTAGCCTCAGTTATGTAACAAATAGCATTTGATTTGATTAAGACTTAGTCCACTTAAACAGTTTATTCTCGGCCAGGCGCAGTGGCTCATGCCTGTAATCCCAGCACTTTGGGAAGCCAAGGAGGGTGGATTAAGAGGTCAGGAGTTCCAGACCAGCCTCACCAATATGGTAAAACTTTGTCAGTACTAAAAATACAAAAATTATTCAGGTATGGTGGCATGTGCCTGTAGTCCTAGCTACTTGGGAAGCTGAGGCAGGAGAATCGCTTGAACCCGGGAAGCAGAGGTCGCCCTGTGAGCCAAGATTACACCACTGCACTCCAGCCTGGGCAACAGAGTGAGACTCCATCTCAAAAACAAATAGTCTATTCCCAAGAGTACGTATGAGATGAGTGCCTCCAATGGCTGTTTCCTGATATGGTCTCCATTTCCACATACCTCATGAATGACAGCAGCATGACATAATTCTTTTTTTCTAAGGTGCAAATCCTGCAAGTCAGCTACTTCATTTATTAGTCAATCAAAGAAACAACAATTTATTTCAGTGCTCAACAGAAAAAAAAAAACAGCTCTGTTGTATTTATTGAGTTAACATGTTCATTTCTCTGACAGACCTTCCTAAGAGATTATCAAGGGTAATTTGAACAGCACTCAGTTTTCCTTTTACATAGTGATGCTATCCAATTCTTATCTAAGGCACAACTTCAGTGTTGTAAATTCTTGTCTTATGGGGAAAAAAAAAAACCCACTTCAGCCAAGTCAAGAACAACAAGAATTTAAATGTATACAGACACAGACATACATACAGTTCCAGATAATTACTACGGCCATTAATCTCTCAGCAGCTGAAAATAATAACTACGAACACAGCTATCATTCTTTGGAGTTAATAGTGCAACTCAATGTGTGTTATTACCTCTAATGGGCTGAGGCTTACAGCCCACCTTTCACTATGTTAGGATCAGGGAAGGGTGGTAAGAAAGAGAATTCAGCCTGGAGAAGCCAGAACAGTCTGTTACCACTGACTCTCCCAGGAGAGCAGGCCTGCTGTGCCCTTGTGTTATGTCTAATATATGACTTCCCGGGCAGCTCTCTCGTGTTGGTTCAAGGCAGCATACTACAAAGTCATGGATGAAAATATAAGAGAAAGAGGCATGGAAACTCAATTTAAAAAAAAAAAAAAAAAGTTATGTGTGTTATTTATGCAACCCAAAGGCTTCAAAGTTGAGCTCTAACTCTATTTAAACCTGCAGAGTCCCTTTCTTACAGCCACATACGTCTCCCTTGCTCTAGGATTAAGGCACAATACATGTACAGTTTCTAGTCACTTTAAATACATCACGATGGCGGCACAGCTCTGAGCTCCGGAATCAGTCTGACCTCCACTAGGTGGCGCTCCGTATTAACGCAGTCCAGCGCTTCTGGAAAGGCAGCCCCGGATGTCAGCTGTGGAGGGTGTTTAACTTTTGTTTGCCACTGTTTCCAAAGGGTGTGCCTTTGGGGAAGTCTAAAAAGTGAACTGTGCCTCAGAACTCCACAGACACCCAGGCTCGTAAGTTTACAGGGAGCTGATTGGCTGAGAGGGAAAGCAAAGGCTGGTGCCACGTCACGGCATCGCACTCAGTAAATAACTGATAATAAAACGGGACAGAAATGGATCGCAGCTGTTTCACTGAAACACAACACATCCAAAAAATATCTTCTGTCTTGTTAGAAAACCAATAGATACGGCTTGAAAACCTTTACTATTGAAAAGCAAAAGCAAATCAATTATTAATTCATAAGAATGCTCCTATAGCAACAATG